CCCTCTCCTAGCCACTTCCTATCAGCCTGTGCACTCTGTCTAAGATGGATGTTCCCACCTTCTCAACTGCTGAACACTTTTTGTGGTTTTGTACCAACTCACATGTCACCTCATCTCTGGAGCTCCCTCTGACTGTTTCCTGGATAGAGTTATTACTCCCTCATTGTGTTGCTAAGCATTCTATCTATACCTTTTTCTTTCATATTATAATGTTTATATTGGTCTCCCCACTGGCTAAGAATTCCTTGAAAGAGAGTTAGTGACATCTTCATCATATTATCTCCAAAGTTGAGCATGTGCCTGGCATTTAGGAAACAGTAATTTTTTGAAAACAAATTAATGTGAGTCTTAAGTATAATCTGTCACCATAGACACAAACAAGTATATTAATTGATTAAATGACTAACCCCTTCCTTTCTCCACCTTTTGACCAAGAACAAAAATTAAAATAAAATTATGTAATATTTTAGAAAAATATTTTTTACATATTTATGGTGTTAGAAACTTCATGCACTTTCTGTAGTGATGTTCCAAGTGCCACATCAGCATCACCTTGTTAGATATGTAAATTCTTGGATCCTACCTCAGACGGACTTATGAAATCAGAAATTCTGGGCGTGGAGTCCAGCAATCTGTATTTTGACAAGTCCTCAGAGATTATTCTGATGCGTGCTAAAATCTGAGAACCACTGTTCTAGAAAAAATTAAAACGCTTAAGAAACATACTGGGTCAACAACTCTATTTAATCAGAAATATATCTTGTTTATCATACCTGAAATAATATAGTTTTGCAGTGTTCCTTGTATCAGGGTCCTTTGTATTCTTGTGTCTTCGAATTCTAAGTGAATTCTTAAGTTCTGAGTTTTCATTTCAATGATGGCCTAAAAAAATTATTTTAACACGTAAGACAAAATTTCTCTTAAGCAGTAATAGTTTACGATTCCATGGAACTAAGATTTTAGTTCCTTAAAAGAAAGTTTTCTCAAATTCTGGTCCTTGGATATATTTTCTAAGGCATAGGGTTAAGAACATGGCCTCTGGAGTTAGACTATTTGGGTTCAAATTTAAGCATTGCTTAGGTGTGTGACCTTGAGCAAATTACTTACATTTTCTGAGTTTGCATTTATTCATCTGTAAAATGGAGATGGAAGTTATAATAGTATCTATCTTGTGGAGATGCTCTAAGGATTAAATTCTCTTAGAACCATGTCTAGCATATAATCAGTGCTCAGTATATATTAACTATTATTGTTGTTCTTGGAAATTTGTGCAGCAGTTAGGATTGTGTTGGGCTGCAAGTAACAGATTATTGCCATGTATTAGTTTTCTATTACTGCTGTAACAAATCACCATAAACTTAATGGCCAACAACAACACAAATTTATTATTTTGCAGTTTTGGAGGTCAGAAATCCAAAATAGGTCTCACTGGGCTAAAATCAAGGTGTTGGTCAGTAAGCTGCTGACTGTGAATTATGCCCTTCTCCAATTTGTTGTAACCCGGATGGTATTTGGAGATGGGGCCTTTTGGAGGTAATTAGGGTAAGATGAGGTCATGACAGTAGGGCCCCCATTATGGGACTAATGCTTTTATAACAAGAGGAACCAGAGAGCTTGCTCCCATTTCTCTGTGCCAATTCATAGCAAGAATGTGGCTGTCTGTAAGCCAAGAAGAGAGTCCTCACTGGGAAACAAATTTGTTGGCACCCTGATCTTAGACTTCCCAGCCTCCAGACTGTGAGAAAATAAATTTCTGTTGTTTAAACCACTCAATCTAGGTATTTTGTTATGGCAGCCTGAATTGACCAGTCCAGATTTGTTCCTCCTAGCGGCTCTAGTGAAGAATTTGTTCCCTTGCCTTTTAACATTTCTAAAGTCCACCTACATTCCTTGGCTTGTGGATCTTTCCTCTGTCCTCAAGCAAACAGCACAGCATTCAAATCTGTCTGACCTGGACTTTTCTACCTCCCTCTTCTCCATGTAAAGGCTGCTGTGGCATTCTGTCCACTTGGATAACCCAGAATAATCTTATTTTAAGATCAGCTGGTTAGCAACCTTAATCTTATTTACAGCCTTAATTCCCCCTTGCCATGTAACATAACATGTTCACAAGTTCTTGGAATCAGGATTTGGACATCTTTGGAGAGCCATGATTTTGGCCACTGCATGGACTAACTATGGTTTGAAGCTTAAGGACCTTTGCTGTTTACCTAAGAAGTTTGGAAGTAGGAATTTCTAATGTTTATTTAGCAGGTTAATTGTATCACCAAGAACCCACACTCCTTCTTTCTTACCTGGTTTGTTAGCTTTTCATCTTCATATTTGTCACTTCATAGACAAAAGATGATTGTTGCATTTCTAGGCATCAACATGTTCAAGACAGGACAAAGGGGAGGGGTAGTGGCAGTCCATTCTCCTCTCAGGTCTGCCCCTTTTATCAGAAAGCAAAATATTTTCCCACAAGCCCCCCCACCCAGCGGTCTTGCTCCACCTGGATCATATGGTCATTTTTAGCTGCAAGAGAATATGGAAAACTGAATATCTGGCAAAGGAGAATGAGGTCATCTTAATTGGTTTAGATCATTTATGATTCATTGATGTGGCTGGGTGCATTGCCTCCCCAAACACAATCAGAGTTTTTTTAGAGGGGGGTGTTAAGTGGGGAGGAGTGGAGGGAGATGAGTGTTAAACAAGCAAATGTTTAACATTCTATTAAATTTAACAGCGTCTTCTGTTTTTTCTTCATTGCTACAATAAAGAGGCAGAGTTTTTGAGAATTTTTTCCCTTTAAGGAAATGGTTTCCTTTGAGAAGCAATGCAGTATTTCTAGAAGTCCAATAAAATACTTGTAAAAATTTTATTCTTCTGTAGCCAAATTAGATTGAGAAAGCTTCAGAAGACTATTTAAACATAATATATTTAGACTTGTGCATGTAACTCAGGATCACTATAAAAAATTAGTCTCTTCAGTATATATATTTTTTCTCATCTAATTGAACAAATGGCTGGGACTGGAAACTATGAGGCTGAAGTTCAATTAAGCTAAAAATTTGCTCCTTTTTAAAAAATTACGGTATCATTGATATACAATCTTATGAAGGCTTTACAAGAGCAACACTGTGGTTACTAAATTCACCCATATTATCAAGTCTCCCTTCACACCCCATTGCAGTCACTGTCCATTCGAGTAGGAAGATGCTACAGTCACTACTTGTCTTCTCTGTGCTATACTGCCTTCCTGGTGACCCCCACTACATTATGTGTGCTAATCCTAATACTCCTTAATCCCCTTCTCCCTCCTTCCCTACCCACCCTCCCCAACCCTTTCCCTTAGGTAACTGCTAGTCGCTTCCTGGAGTCTGTGAGTCTGCTGCTGTTTTGTTCCTTCAGTTTGGCTTTGTTGTTACACTCCACGAATGAGTGAAATCATTTGGTACTTGTCTTCCTCCACCTGGCTTATTTCACTGAGCGTAATAACCCTCAGCTCCATCCATGCTGTTGCAAATGGTAAGATCTGTTTTCTTCTTATGGTTGAATAATATTCCATGTGTATATGTACCATATCTTCTTTATCCATTCATCTACTGATGGACACTTAGGTTGCTGCCATATCTTGCCTACTGTAAATAAAAACACAACTATGGTTTCCTTATTTAATTGTACTACATTTATAAAAACTATGCTTCACTATTAGAACTTAAATTTCTTTCAGTTCTGTATTCAAATTTTCTAAAATAATAATGGCAATCTATAATAAAATTTCTAAATAATTGCATAAATAAACTTCAGTGTACTTTCAATGAAACTGAAATGTTGGCTGGCAGATGATACCATGTTGAGAAACCCTAATATTTGTGAATCAATGTATGGAAGTCCAGTTTTGATGCTCAGCATGTTACTTACTTAGTTAATTCAATATATATTTATTGTGTGCCAGGCACTGTTCTAGGAACTGAGATTATAGCAATGAAGGAAAACAAGGAGTTCTGACTTTATACTTTTTATAGTCTGGTTAGAGTAATACAAAAAACACAAGTGAAAACTCAAAATATTTTTTATCTATCAGATTAGCAATGGTGGGTACGCTCTTTCTGAAGAGTGTATGCTGTCTAAATTGGTACACTCTTTCCGAAGACAAATTTAACTGTATGTGTGAGTTAAAATGTCTATACACTTTGACTCAGGGATTTCACTCTTGGAAATCTATTATAATTAAAGAATCAGAAATGCAGACCAAGATTTACATTATTTGGCAGTTTGGTCACTACATTATCTTTACAAGTGAAAAATTAGAGATAACTTAAATATTCACCAAAGGGGAAATGGTTAAATAATTTATAGCATGTCCATAAACCTATTGTAAAACTATCAAAATGGTGTTTTTGAAGCATTTAGTGCCCTTGAAAAAAACTCATGCTATGCTTTTAAGAGGGTAAAAATTCTGATTAAAAACTGTATCCAAAATAATAATGTTTTTGACTGGGAGTCAAAAGGCACAAACTTACTGAAGTTATTGAAGGGCATAAAGAGGTGCAAACTTCCAGTTATAAAATAAATAGTTATGGGGATGTAATGTGCACTATGGTGACTATAGTTAATAATTCTGTATTGCATATTTGTTTTTTAATTTTTTAAACTTTTCTTTCTTTTTTTAAAATTGAAGTGTCATTGATATACAATCTTAAATTGGTTTCAAATATACAACACAGTGATCTAACAGTTACTAGTGTTATTAAATCCTTACCCCCACTATTGCGGTTACTATCTGTCAACGTAGAAAGATGTTTCTGTATTGCATATTCAAAAGTTTCCAAGAAAGTCAACCTGAAAAATTCTCATCAAAAGATATAAAAGGTCTTTTGTAATTAAATATGGTGATACAGGTGTGTTAGAGTAATACAGATGTGTTAGAATAATTATTGGACTTTGTATCTGGGAACTGCTAGTTGCTTCTGTACACTAAGTAAAATATTAACTTTCTGATTTTTTGCTACAACGAGAAGTAAAGCAGGCTACCAGCAATTCTGAGAGCCTGCAAAACCAGCTTGCAAGAAAAATGAAGCTCCCTATTTTTGTAGCAGATGCATTCACAACAAAAGCATTTCGTGGGAATCCTGCTGCTGTTTGCCTCTTAGAAAATGTAAGTACTTCGTTTCGAAGTGCAGTACCTGAAATTCTGGATTGCTGTAGAACCAAGTATTTCTTAAAAAAAAAAAAAGGCAACAAAGTAAGACCCACCTGTTTGTTTATTGCTTTGGTTTGTGTTGTCAAATTATGTCAGCAATACATTTCTGTAAGTTGATTTTGACCAAATTATATGACGAGAATGCTTACATCTAGATGTGTGAGTCTAGAGAAACGAAGACTGATGCACAGAAGAACTAGAGCTACCTTTCAGCCATCAGGTTTTCATTTAATTAGCACTACATGTGGAGAAGAATGAAATTAGATGAGTTTTATGTGACTGGACTGATACTACAGTTAGCATAAGAGATCCTAGCTGCATATCTTTAGCCTTACTGTGGTTCAGAAATTAAAAATTCTTTTCAGGACCAAGAAAATGAGACATTTTGCAAGGAAATTCACTAGAGAGATAGAAGGAATTAAGCTCTAATATAAGGAGGACTTAAGTTTACTCAAAGTCTCATTTCAAAAATGGCTTTTTGATTAGGATTAAATATTAACCGAGTAGTTAAATATTCCTTGACCTTAGGTGTTTTGTGTTGGTACGTTGGGTACCAGGAAACAAGCCAGGAGCCCTCCGACTCAGTGCAGTCAGTGCAGAGTGGATTATCTGAGAATCACTTCAGGTACACAGTGAGCAATTGATCTTAAGTAAGTTTCTTATGTTGAGCAAAGTGTGTGTCGGCACCATCAGCTGCAGTGAATGTCAAGCTGGCTTGCACATTATAATCACCCAAAGAGCTTTAAAAATGCCTATGCCTGGGCTGCATCCCAGACTGATTACAACAGAATCTCTGGGGTGTGGGACCCGGGCAGCACTGTTCTTTAAAGCTCCCCAAGTGATTCTAGCATGTAATCAAGATGGAGAATGACTGAAGTTTTACTGAGATAGGTGAATATTGTTAATTGTGTCCTTGGTACACTTATTTTCTCTCCCAAGTAGAACAGCAAAATGGTGCTCACAAGTCCTCATCTCACCTTGATGATGCATTCATGATGTAGCCTGCAAGCTGGCATTTTCCAGCACAAAATGCTGAAAGTAATAAAGGTAATACGTTTTACCAAGTAACACAAGAACTTGGATGGATTAGTGAGAGAATAATTAACAACCAGATTCTAAATCATGAACTCTCTGTAGGTATAAGTAATCTGGCAAACATAACTTCACATCAAGGGATTGTGGAATCGACTAGAACTTCTTGTCAAGAGTCTTAATATATTTGCCCCATGTACCCACATGATACCCTTAAAGAGTTCTGGAAATAGTTTCAAGTGATTTATGTACTCAGTATTCACCAGATGACAAGAATTAGCATTATTCCTCACATTTTTTTTCGAGTACGCTTGCTCAACACCAGACTTAGGGATATCTTCCTCTCTTTCTCTCCATTAAAATATATTTTACATGCTATTTATTTATTTGGAAGAACTAGGAAATAAAAATTCAAGCAAAGAACTTAGCATAATCGAAAGCAATATACTTGAGAGTAAATCGAAGAAAGAAGAAGAAGATGAGCAAGTCCATCCTACAGGGAAGCTGTATAGGCCCGGGACCTGTGAGACCAGCAAGTCCACCCTATAGGGAAGCTGTATGGGCCCGGGACCTGTGAGACCAGCAAGTCCACCCTACAGGGAAGCTGTGTGGGCCCGGGACCTGTGAGACCAGGAAGTCCATCCTACACGGAAGCTGTATGGGTCTGGGACCTGTGAGACCAGCAAGTCCACCCTACAGGGAAGCTGTATGGGCCCGGAACCTGTGAGATCAGCAAGTCCATCCTACATGGAAGCTCCCTAGAGTCTCTCAGCTCACTCCTGGGCCCGGAACCTGTGAGACCAGGCCTGGGAGGGACAAAGGAACAGAGAGCTGAAGGCTGGTTTGCTAGCTGTCATCCTGTGGACATGAGAGTCCTGTTCTCCTGATGTTAGTTTAGCACTTTCCCCAATTCATAATCAATAAAAATTATTATGGAAGAATAAACTGTAGTTTCTACCCTTGGGTTCTCTTACCCATGGCTGGAGACAGTGGGCACTGGAAATAACCTCAAGAGAACACAGGTGAAGTCAGGAAAATATCAGAGCCAAGGAAGTGCTAAACTTTATAACACTGACCACAGTTTAGTAGGCATTTAGCCTGTCATTAATGTATTCTACGAATATTCATCAACGTCTGACATGGACAGGCTCTGGGGTAGGGACGGAAGATACAAAGATTAGTAAGTGTGCCTGCCCTTGAGGTGCTCAAAGTCTAGTGGGGGAAGTGGACATGTGAACTTGGTCATTATTCAGTAGTTAACACAGAGGCTAAAAGCCCTAAAGGTACCAGGTACAGGGGGTACTCAGAATGGAACAGCACTGGATTTTATAGAGGAGAAAGTATTTCAGATTTTAAGTGCAGGGCCTCAAAGGAATATTCTTTTTTGTTTAAAATTATTTAAAATTGGAGTGATAAGAAACTACAGAAAACTTGACAGGCAGACTAAAGACCATGTAATTGTACTTTGACATTTTGAATATGAGGTAAAAGACTGCTGGAAGGAAAGGAAAAACTTCTGGGTAAAATGTTCCAAGAGTTTCTATAGTATTTTAAAGTTTTGTTTTCCTTTCTAGACATGTCTATTTTTAAATTTGTCACATAAGAAGCTTATAACACTGTACATTAGGTGAAAACAAAAACAGATTAAGGGCTAAATGGAGCATGGAACAGGTAATTTGAAAAAAAATTTTAAACATTAAAAAATTGGTGGTGTCCTTGAGTGCCTGACAATCAATTTGACAATAAAAACCATGTAGAAACATGGAAAATGTAAAGAAACAATATTTAAAAAGTGAAATAGATACATTATAACAGCTGTGTAGAAAACTGCAATAACTCATGACCAATAAGGCCAGTGGTACTGATAAAGGGTGGGACTTCATTTATTTTCTGTATGCCAGCTTTAATATTTAATGAATATAACATGTCAACAAGGGTAGGGAGCCCATAGTTATTCTCCTTTGTATTCTAAGTCAAAATTGTTTTGTTATTGTTGTTTTGTGTTTGTGTGTGTTTAGGGCAGGGTTTTTCAAAAGCAGTATTACTATTTTGGATGAGGCATTTCTTGTGTAAAACTGTCACGTGCATTGTAAAATGTTTGGCATTATCCTTGGCCTCCACCCATTAGATGACAGTAGTCCCCCCCTCCCCATTCCCAGTCATGACAAACAAAAATCACTCCCAGTTGAGAATCATTATTTCAGAGGATACCTTTTCTGAAGAGCGGTTTATTCCTGAGTTTCCCTGTTAAAAGTATCCATAAAAAATAACTTCGCTGTGTGCCCAGTGTATACATTTATTCCAATTCAGCTGGCATTTACTGACTCTCTACTATGTGCTAGCTGCCCTGCTAGGATCAAATGTAATATTCATAGATACACATTTTTATTCTTTTAAACACTAATTAATTTCCAGTGACAGCAAGGAGGATTGGCTTTCCACTTTTAAAGAAGAACTCTTAGTTTTAATTCCTAAATCACTTGCTGTTCCAGTTTTCATGGTTAAATTTAGAGAATACCAGAAGTCCCTTCTCAGCTTGGTGGGTTATGGATTAAGGTGGGTAGCAATGCTGTGTTCAATCCATACTTTTCCTTATGTGAGGAAGCTTCTGGTGCAGTAGCCATTTCCATACTTAGTGCCCTTCTTTAGAGAGAGGATCCCTGGCTCCATGTGACCACACTGAGGCAGAAGCTCTTGGAGTTCCTAGGGAGTTTCAACATTGTATCTCATATTCATGCAGAGAAAAGGAATAGAGAGTGCAAAGGAGATTCTTCTAGGGCACTGAAGGGTTTTCCTTTGCTCAGTATTAGAGGGGAGAGAGCAATGAAAAAGAGGAGGAAATATTAATATGGGAATTTCTACTTCCCAAGTATCTTCACTGGCTTGTAGAACATAACCCTCAGCTTAGGTAGCAGTGACTTCAGGTAAGTTCAGCCAGATAATGTGTTAATTGCTTTTTCATGCTATCTCATATCCCCCTCACAACCACTCTATGAGCAGGTCTTATTATCAACCATATTTTACAGATGAGGAAGCAGAGGCAGGGGTTAAGTAACTTACCTAATGGCTGACTTCAGGATCCTACCCCAGGTTGGCCTGACTGCAGGGCTGTGTTGTACTCACTCCTGGACATGTCCTCCCCTTTTATGTGCTCCCGCAGCACCCCTTACTTCCCAGTTGGTGTTGTGCATCACTCTTGTAATTCATTCAATGCCTGTCTTCCTCACTAGATTTCACATTCAAGAGTTTTAACCTATACTGACTTGTTACAACACGCATGGCCTAGTGCATGGGAGGCAGTTAATGGAGGTCTATTGAGTCAAAGTGAAAATATTACAATCAATTAAATTATGGCAAAGTCTCCTTCTAAGACTTCTAGCTAGCCATCAGTTATTGACCTTGTGTTCTCACTGGTGGGGAAGAGGGGTCAGGGTATGCAAAGTGAGTATGAGCTCTGGGTTCTGTGATGGAGCTGGAGGGAGCAGAAGTCCATGAGAACCATTAGAAACAACCGCAGTTGGCCTATAGCTTTCTGCATTGTGTGGACACAACTTCACAACAGGAAATTCATGTGTCTCAGAGGGAATCTCCAATTCCTAGATTATTTGGAATTTTCTACACCCAAGGGCTTTTCCTTTGCTGGACTCTACAGCAGAAGGGCAACTGTAAAAGACGTTTAACAAGACCATCATATTTAGGCTGTCATATTTCTAAATGGCCACAAGATGGGAGTATTTTAAAACTTATGTTGAGCAAAGTGTGTGTCGGCACCGTCAGCTGCAGTGAATGTCAAGCTGGCTTGCACATTATAATCACCCAAAGAGCTTTAAATATGCTTATGCCTGGGCTGCATCCCAGACTGATTACAACAGAATCTCTGATTTTCTGATCATTAATCTTTTGTGGGCCTTTTGGTAACTTCA